CGTTGCTGCAAGGAAAAGCTCATATTCAATTAAAATTTAATTAAGAAATTTGAATCGTAAAAAAAAATTAATAATTATTATTGTTGCGAACTAATTTACGATATCATTTAAATTCAAAAAGCATATGTAAATTAAGTAGACGTATCCAAAACCATGAAAAAATATATTATTCAAAAAGATTAAATTTATTATTCCAAAAAAATTACATATTTTAAAAAAATAGCGCTTTCAGATTTTTTAATTAATATCTCAGCTGATTAAATTGTACAACTTCAACGCCATCATTTAAATTTAATGTAATATAACAACTTTTTACAATTCAAAAAAAAAAATTAACGTGGCAATAACATATCGGGCAATTCCTAACCTGAAATTTAAAAATTGAAAAAGAAGTTTTTTAAAATGCTGACATTAAAATATTTTCAATACAGTAAACATGAAATCGCGTGTTTTATTAAAACTACAGAATATAACCTTGATTTTTATCTCTAGCGGTTCAAGAAACTGTAGCCACTCGGAAATAAGAGCGCGGAAAATTAGCATTTTCACAGTTTTTTAATTAATATCTCAGCTGATTAAAGTCGTACGAAGATGAGAATGACATCAATGATTCCGAGAATTTTTTGCAATCCGGCGATACCTCTCTCGAATTCCAACTCGACCCGGTTCCAAAGTTATTTGGAAAAAAAAAGAATTGACACGTGACCTTTCGCCAGCACAAATCTGAAAGGGGAAGGGAAGCTTTGGAAAAAGCAATTTTATCTCAACTAATTTTTGCCACTCCGAAAATGAAATAACGTTTTCGCAGTTTTTAATTAATAACTCCGCCGATTATTGTCGTACGAAGATGGGACCAGTATCGATGGATTCGTTGATTTTTTTCGCATCCGGGGATATGCGTTTTTCGAATCGCAAGCCGTTCCGAGATATTCGAGAAAAACGAATTTGGCCACGTAGCCAAATCCCTAAAACAGGGGAAAACCGAGTGAAAGAAAGTGCAAAACGTAGGGAAAGTAGGGAGGAAATTAGTTTTTAATTAATATCTCGGCTACGCATCACGAAAACAACTTGCACCCAGCCCGCTTGCCGAAAGTTGGAACGAACTACCAGTGTCTAGCGGTTCGGGCGGACTGCGCCCGCTTTATTAAATTATGCATCCAGAATTATGCATACACGACACACATGCGGAAACTCAAGAAAACCCCATAGAGCCAGCCCGTGGTCTTTATTCGAAAGTTCGTCCAACTACCAGTGTTTCAGCGATTACCCGGGCTGCGCCCGCTTTATTCGCGTATGCATCCAAAAGATACTGCATACACGTTCCACATGCAGAAATCAGAACTACATGGAGGCAGTCCTTCGCTGAGATTCGGAAGTTGGATCGAACTACAGTGATCAGCGGATTTGCGCGGCTTCACCCGCTCTATCTCGTATGCATTAGAAGAACTGCATACACGATACACGTGCGTGAAATCACGAAAATACCCATACAGACAGCTCTTTAACGGCTATTCGAAGTTGACCGAACTACCAGTGTTCAGCGGGCTGCGCCCGCTTTATTCATATATGCGTCCAGAAGATACTGCGTCCACGATACACATGCGTTAAATCACGAAAGTACGCATGCAGCCAGCCGCTCGTGGTATTCGAAGGATGGACTTAACTAAGTTCACGCGGACTGCCCCGCTTTATTGGCGTATACGTCCAGAAATACTGCATACACGATAACATACCTAAAATCCGAAACACTTATGCAGCCAGCCCGATCGCCTTTATTCGAAAGCTGGACCGAATACCAGTTTTGCGGTTTGCGCGGGCTGCCCCGCGTTATTTGGTATGCTTCACAATACTGCATAACGTACACATACTCAAAAATTACGAAAACACTATGGAGCCAACCCGTTTGCCGGGATTCGAAATTTGGACTGAACTACCAGTGTTCAGCGATTTTACTGCTCAGGCTTTTTGCAAAGTTAACCGCAAAACTTTTCGGTTTTAATATTCAAACAGTAGATCGTTATTAAACTCCTTTTGATAACTTCAACATAATCACCACACAAAACATTCAATATATATTAAGTAATTAATCAACCATAATTATTTATATTAAGAAAATTTCCATATACCATGTTCAAGCAACAGAATTAATTTAAAATCTGAACAAAAAATAATAGTCGAATTTAAATAAATAGTTTATTTATATTTATATTATTTTGGCAATTAAAATTCTTATTAAAATTATATTTAATATTAGCTTTATGCGAAAAGAAACATTTGTTCCAAAAATAAACAGTATATATATTAGAATATATATAATAACAAAAGCAGTGAATGATTACGTAGCTCAGTAACACAAATGAGCACGCTGATTTAAGTTATTAGAAGTATTAATTTGTTGCTTATTCAGATCCAAAAATCACGAATTGTCCATTGCTACTGAATAAAACCCATTCATCCATTGCTATTGAATAAAACTCAAATTTTTTGCATTTTGATTTTAATTTACTGAATATATCTGTAGCAAATATAATATGCTACAGACCTCTATGCATCTTGCTACTGTCACACCAGACAAGCTAATATTCGACATGACTTGAGACTGTAATGGACAAAGCACATCAACTGCACTCTGAAGACTTTTTTTAACAAATTCTCCAACACCAAAGGGTTTGCCATGCTTGGCAAATTTTTTTTTTTTTTTCTATCATGTAACTAACATGAAAATTATTTTCAGATTCTGTATTCGCTGTGGTGAAGAAAGACTGCTGAAAACTTAGTTTTGATTTTAATTCACTTGCCTTATTACTCCGAAAATGACCTTCCAAAGCAAAATATTTCTCATTGCGCTTAATATCATAATGTCTCTTAATGTTGTATTCCTTCATCACAGCTACACTGTCATTGCAAATAAGGCAAACTGCCTTACCCTTATGTACAAAATAAAAATAAAGATCTGACCACTTTTCTTGAAAACATAGTACTTTTCCTTCAACTTTTCTTTTTTTGTTATCACGGCTTGCCATTGTTTACTCGTACATAGACCATTAATGCTTCTGAATTTTAGAATGTGGAATGAGTGTGAGTAATCTAGCTTAAAATCAAGTGTAGAAAATCTGCTTATCACCAAATCAAACAGGATGTTTACGATCCCCGTTCCCTTTGACAACTGACTGCAACATCAGGAGAGATATTCTGTTAATTTAATCCCCCTTCCCTCTAAAGTAGCGGCATGCTCAAGGTCATCTTTGGCAAAGTATTAATGAAAGCTTGACATCTGTTGCAAACCTGTTAGAGATAAAAACCATTTTATGGAATATGATTTTATGGAATTTAGATTCCATAAACCTTTTTATGGAATTGAGATGTTATGCGTAGTCAAATTTTTTATTTTTAAAATTACAAAAGATAAAGTAAAATTTTTGAAAAATTCATGATTTTCAGAAAATTTTATCTCAAATATCAGGCATGACAATAAAATGTTTTAAATATCAAGAATAAGAGAAAAAAGGTTGTTTTTTTTTTTTTTTTTTTTTTTTACGAAAAAAAGCTGGCGTGGCAATTTTTCTTGAAATCAAAATTTCTTAAAATTCTTCAATTTTCTATAAATTCAACTGTGGTGCCACTAAAATGGCTTCGGTGGGCCACGGGTTGAAGACCCCTACTCTACAGGAATAGGTCAGAGGGTCTGCTGCTACCGCTCTTCTGCTACCTTGTTTGTGAAGTCCAATCTTCAAGGCAAAAATGGCAGCTGTAATTATTGTCCCAATTCAATTTTATGTTGGAACTACTGCAGCTGAGTGTACATTATGCACTGAAGAGACATTTGGCTAAGTGAAAATAGTTATGCAGCCCTAATTTCAAAAATTGTATAAATCATTCCTAAACCATTTCACTGTTTGTTTGCATAATGACAGCAGAAGGAACTTAGACCCTCGGTGTCAAAGGCAAAGCATTATGTAAGTATTTTTTGATTTTCAGGTTTAGATTTTAAATAAACAACTTATTGTGGAGCAATCACTTAATGTTAAATGCTTATGTTGTACATTTTCATAGAGACGTCACATAATATCATACATTCTTTAAGTGAGTAGACACCTTTTACAGTCATTTTAATTATTAAAAAAAAAACACAGATGCCAACACTGAAATATGAAAAACCAGGATGATCCTGCAGTAAAACGAGGTTTCAGCAGCATTTCATGTTGTGTGGCAATGTCATTTCAAAAGAATTTCAAACTAACTAATCTTTACTTTATAATCCATGACTTAGGTTATCGAACTGTTAATATTATGATTCTGATTTAAAATATATTAATATTTAATCAGATATTCTAAATTTTATGTTCTTTGGCTAACTTCATTTTGTAATTTTCTCACAATGAGAAAATCTGCAGTACGGAAGGAAAACTTTTACTTATCAAAGTACTTTTAAATGCAATGAAAATATAAATAATGATTCATGTACATAACACTGCAAGACTAAACTTGATGTAAAATATACTGAAATACAAATATTAATTGATTGACCGAAACTTTTAAAAACACTTTACAGTTTTTAAAAAAATTCTGAACAACAGAAGGAAGTCTTCAACAAAGCAACCGCTTTCCAATACCAAAAACAAAACTGATGCCAAATGCTATTTCATTCATCCTCAATACTTGACATGTTACAAACCATGCAAAGGGCATACAAACTATACCAGTAAAATGGCACCACCTTTTATTAAGCAGAATTATAAGATTCCGCATTAGGAAGAAGGCCAATAGAAAAAAGATTTGCAATACAATTGCAGTATCATTCTCTAGGTAAATGATACCCAGTTTCAGATCCCACTAAACTACACATACCATGCTTAAAATTTGCAAAAACATACAAGATTAAAATAATTATTAAAAACTTAAGAAATACATTAAATTAAATGATAAAAAATGCACACGGGAAATGACACTAATCATAATACAGCATTTTGAAATCTTATTATAATAAGTTTTCAACAATAAACTTTCAAGCATGTGCAGCAATTTAATACTTACCACTTATTATACTGTCTATTATAGGCTGTACGTGAACAGCGAGGAGTTCCGCATTATTAATTGCAGCTAAGGAAAGATAGCTTGATAAATTTCGACTAAGTTCTTTGTTGCCTCTATGTAAAAATTTCACAGCAACAGGCAATGCTAGTTTCATAACTGATTTCTTATTGTGATTCTAAAATAAGAAACATATTTTAAAGATTATTAATACAGCAAATATTAAACCATTTAAAAATTGTGCCAAATGCACTGCTACTTAAATTACAACATAACAGTTAAACTGATCATAACAAAATATCCCTAAGCAATTTTGTATGGTCCTTACCTTTTTTTTTTTTTTTTGTTTTGTTTTTTTAAAGAACTTGAAATACTAACAATGTCAAACTTTCTTTGAAAACCTACAAAATGAAACACTATTTTACGCTAGCAAAGCACCTAAATGGGGCAGCAAAGAAATACTGTACCACTAGATGGAAAGGTTCACAAATCAGATACTAGTTCAAAGATTCACACATTCTTTATACACAGCTACATGGTTTATTTACTTCTGGGGCTAAAAACTAACATTAGGGAAAATTCTGCCACTGAAACTAGGAATGAACTACTGCAGAGCTGTCAATAGGAATAATGCGAAAAGCTTATTTCCAAATTTGCATATCTGACTTTGCTTTATGTATTTATTTTGGACTTAATAAAATAGGCATTCTTTTCATCAAGCTGTATATATCATTAGGGCTGATATTTCTATCTATCAGATATACTATTTATATATGATACCAACTGGTGCCCCATTAACTGAAAAGAATCTAATATTTTACAAAACACTCAAATATAACTACAAAGATTCTAATCCATAATTAAGTATTTCTTCATATATTCTACATTAGAAATAATATCTGAATAGTTATCCGAGTTCTGCTGTTTCCTTCTGAATATAATTTCCCTACACATTTTGCATGGCAGTTGCACTATCTTTTTTTCTTTTTCCTAACATCACACTTCTAATTTTTAAAATTGAACTAGGTTTAGTTCAGAATAATTTCAGTATTTAAAACATTACTCTAACGATATTTCATGCTCACACAGGAACGTCTTATCCACCAGCCATACCATCAAGTAATTGATAAAAATATGACAGAATATTCACCCTTGTACCTTCCCACTAATACTACAGCTTCCCAAGCTCTTACTGAGATTTTCAGTAGTGTCAAATTATACTATATGCAATTTCTTCTACAAGTACTTAATGAAAATCTTTATCTTGCGCAAACAGTTCCTTAAGTTGACCAAACAACTCATCACAGGAAGTTAATGCTGTTCAATGCTTTTTATTTGTAATAATCAAATTTTACAAAATTAAAAAAAAAATGTGATAAAAACCTATGATGAAAATACTTTGCCAACATATTACAATAAATAGTAAAATACTGTTTCAGCGCAAAGACCATAATGCTGGATCTTATATCACTTTGTATTTTACGTTACACTAAATTTGAAATTAAAAAATAATTTTTTGTTAAAATATGAAAATGCATTTTAGAGTTGTACATTACTATTTCATAAATTACTCTAAAGAAAACATATCATTTTAGTAAAACCACTGAGGGAACTTTTCTTAGTGTTTTCCAAATATTACACAAAGTTAATAATAAATACATCAAACTTGTTCCACTGTACTAAAATACATTGGCAGGAAATTAACTGAACAACTTAAAAACTCATAGAATATTTAATGATTTTGCAGCTAACAACATGAAACTTGCACAAAATCTTTAGTCGTGAATGTCATATCTTCAAAATGCAGAATTATCTTATTTCTGCAAAAAAAAAAATTAAAAACAAAGTGAGGTATGGTAAACTTGGCATTACTACTTACAGATATATAGAAAAAATTAATAAGCTTATGTCACCCTTGACTGTTGACTGAAATGCAAGCTTTACATTGATTTTTCATGCCTTGTATTAGATTTTCTATGTGTTCCTGAGGTAGCAATAAGCATTCAGAATGAATATTGCCTTGAATCTCCTGGAGAAAGTACTATCTAGTCTACAATGATGCAAGTTGGTGTCCTAGTGTGACACACACATGCTCAATCACATTTAAATCCAAACACTGTGCAAGTTAATCCAGCTCCTCGATTTCTTTGTTCTAAAGCTGATTGGTCACAAATTAAAATGTGTACGTTAGTGCAGTTATTTAAAATGATGCTCACACATATCAGGATTCCACTGCCTTTGCACAATATCTTTTACAAATGTAGTCAGGTTCATTGCAAATGTTTTGATCCTTCCAGAGATCATCTGCAATTAGTCTCCAAATAAAAATGAGACTCCTCATTAAAGAGAACTGGGTGAACTAAATTCAGTGAATGATACTCCAATCTCAATAATCTCTGCATCACTGCAACCAGGCACATTTTTGCAATCTGAGTAAGTTGGACACAAATCATAGATTTCCCTACCTATAGCTCTATTTTGTGCAGCTTATCACTCATGGTATATCTGGATAGCAAGTTCCTGTAGCCACAGCAAAAGGCCTAGCAATCTTGGCTGATGTTAACTGTCTATATCTTTTAGCAATGCTTGCTAAATAATGGTTCTGAGACTATGTTGTGGCATGCTTTTGACTGTGACCTGGTAGTCTGCACATATCACCAGTCTGAGTAAAGATCCAGATTCTTAGAGCACTATCTCCAAATTCTTAACATGATGCTTTGGGCTACTTTTAGGTTTGAATGCCATTTCTTCTAATCCATCAGATGCCTTGCAACATGTTTCGCTTTTCAAAAGTAAAAAACTTTATCAAATTACTAATACAATTTATTAGAATTTGAAATACCCCTTGCATTCCCTTCTACATATGCTAAAAGAATGTCTGCAAAGTATTTGCATATTTCTATGTGGTAAATTCCACTGAACTATGTGAATTCCTTTGGACTACATGATAATACTGACCCTGAGCTATCAACCAACTACCTTTCATTGGTTCTCACTTAACAGAGTTACCAAAAAGCGCGTTTTAAAGTTTTTTCGTGAAGCCTCACCAGCTTATTTTTAAAACACCAGTCAATGCACCAACAGTTTATTTTTAAAACACCTTGTCAATGTAAGAAGTATTGGCTGCAAAATTGATAAGTTTGTAACACATACATTACAAATTCTCTTACCAAAAATATGCAACTGACAATATCTGACGCAATTTTTGCATGAGGAGGATCCTCATCTTTAGGAAGTGGACGAAGATCATGATTGAGACATGATTCTAATAGTGAAACCATTGCAAGAGCATGCTGTTCAATTGTTCCAGTATCCCTAAGAAAAAAAAGAAAAAGAAAAGCTTTTTTTTATGTACATTCTATGAAAAATTCAGTAATAGTAGCATTCTTACATCATATTTGGTTATTTCATACTAATTTCTGAGCAACATAATAGGGAAGAGGCAAAAATTGCAATTGTATTACCACATACAAACTATTTTGCTAAACTTTGCCAAAAAGTTGTGAAATATAACTAAAATTAACTCCAGAAAATAATTTTAACACAGATGCAAGGAAATATGTCAGAACTTAAGTGCATTTAAACCCAAGTTAACAATCAAAATATTGTTTTTCAAATAGTTTAATTAAATGTGACTTGATTATGCTTAAATTAATGAAATGTAGACATTATTAGTGGTAGAATTTGAGGATAAATAGGTCATGTTACTGCAATACAAGATCAATTTATAGGTTTATATATATAGTACAAAGCCTGAGATCCAGATTTGTCAAGACATTGATGATTAGAGATTTTGGTAAATTCTAGATTTTAGACCATCTGTTTAAATCAAGAAAGATTACAAATAGAAATTACCAAATTAAAAATGTGAAAGGTTGTCAATCAAGATCCACAATGATGAATAAGGATTGTTATTTGGCACTCTAAGCACGGTGATACAGGACTGCTATAGCATCACAGCTGTCACGTCAGCAGTATGCTACCACAAGAAACAGTTTCCCAGTCTACTGTTGTCCACAGGCTTCATGACATAAAGTTGTTTGCCAGAAGACGAGCTCTTTGCATCCCACTTACTGCAGCACACAAGAGAGCGCATTTAGCATGGTGCAGACATGTGCCCTTGGACCAGACTTCAGTGAAGCACTAGTTTTTACAGATGAGTCAAGATTCAGCCTGGATGCTGATTCCCAGCATAGGTGTATCCGGAGAAAGCATAGAAAATAATACTGTCCCTCCCTCATCAGGAAAAGGATCATTACAGTGATGGAGGTGTAATGGTGTAAGCAGGCATCATGTTGGACGGCCGCACTCCCCTCTATGTGTTTGATAAAGGCTCCTTGACTACACATGTTCCTAAAATGTACTTGCTGTACCCCCTGCTAAGTAAATGCTGAACTACTATTGGCTGATCAGATTGATATGTAATAAAGTCACTGGTTTGCTCAAAGTTACAAGTCAATTGCATGGATTCTGAAGAAGGGTTGTGGAACCGGCATAAAATATAATTCCTAGTTTGCTGGATAAAACATAATAAACTTTGTATGCATATACATTCTGAATTAATAATAGACCATTAAAAGGTACAGCTGGTAAAGAATATAGAACACAAAGCTCTTCAAACATATAACACTTGAAGTATTTTATTTAGACGACATAAGAGATATTTACTACAAAGAAAAATTTTGTTGAGCAAAATATATATAAATCTATAAGAAATTTCGTTACCGGAGCATTACCGGTCATTTATAATTGTACTCTAGATTTTCAAATATCAGAAATTGTGAAATAACATAAGAAATGTTATTGAATTTATGGGGAATTTGAGCTTGACATGAAGGGATTTTTTTATTTATTTTATAATAGAATAAGACTGGTTTTGTATTTTTGAAAATTTTTGGCAAAAGAACGGTTTAATCTTTTACTATTTCATTGGTATGTTAATATTTTCTGAAACCAAAATTATAAAATGGACGACTGTTAATATTTACAATAATAACTGAAATTCTGAAAAAGAACATTTTTTTTAATTATTTAAAAAGTACAGAGCATCTTTTAATGATGTCCATATTTTAAAAAGGCACAAAAAGACAAACTAGAAGATTACTTTGTCATTGTCACCAATAACGTATCAAAGAATATTGGTTCAGTTTTGGATGGCAGAATTCAGTTGCATACTAAGTTATTTGAACAACAGAAAAAAATAAGCAATCAAGAACTTGGGTTTGTGTGTGTGTGATTATGGCAAAGCCTCGAGGGCTATCTGCCTAAGAGGAGGGATGCCTTCGTGGAGGACTTTCTAAGGGAAACTGGCTCGTATACACGTTACACATGGGGAAAACCACGAAAACGCCCATGCAGCCAGCCCGTTCGCGGGATTCGAACCTCGGACCGAACTACCAGTGTTCAGCGACTTTTACCGCTCGGCCGCTGGTGGGCCATCAAGAACTTGGAAACAGTCATTTTGATAATTCTAGGCATAGTTTGACATGATGAATTAATAATTTTAAAAAGCTGTGTAGTGGATTTGTCATTCGAAAAGGTTATAAGGTCAGAATTTATTCAGAGTATCATGTTATGCCTCGAATAATAGGAAGAAATGCTTACAAGTGAGCGTCAGAATTTGATAGAGCCATGATCGTCACCTATTGAGAGTGTGGATTATCGTTCCATGATATAGCTCGTCGAACTGGTCAATGTCCAACAACAGTTATGTGAATATGAAAGCAGTAGAATGCTGAGAGTCATACTGAACAACATGCAGGATCTCAAAGCCCTCTCATGACTAATGCCTGAGAGGACAGACATATTGTGAGATCAGCCCTGCAAAACCATACAACCACATCACGGACCACTAGTCAAAACATGGGCATGTTTGCAGCACACTTGTATGATGTGGCAACATTTCCAGCAGCATGGTCTATCAGAAAGGTGTCCATTACTTTGGCTTTCCTTGACAATGCAGCACAGAGAGAGACGGCGACTGTGGTGCATTCAACAATAAAGCTGCATACAGGAGTGGCACAATGTTGTCTTTTCAGATGAGTCCCGGTTCTGCATGCACTATTCTGATGGCCATATATGTGTCTGGAGGCTCCGAGGTGACCGCACGTTGCCTGGTTGCATTCGTTATCAGCATAGGAAACCTGAATCTGGTCTGATGCTTTGGGCAGCCATTGGGCACATAGCAGACACATCTGTAATTCGAATCAACAGTAATTTGAACTCAGATTGGTACATTTCTGACATCTTATGTCCAGTTGTTGCGACCTATCTTCGAGGGCTGCCAAACAACATCTTCCAAAAAGAAAATGTCACATGTTGCATGTCGTGTTCTGGCCTTCCTCGATACACAAAGTATTCTATTACTGCCCTAGCCCGCATAGTCTCCAGGTCTGTATAACAGAATGAGATGGAGAATTGTCATTAGTTTCGAGGCAGACCAATCACAAGCACCGGTTGCTACAGAACTTAATGAGTCAAAGTCATCTGTAATTTGGGGAAACAATTTCAGGACACTGGATCCATACTAAGAAGACCTTACAGGGTCAATCAAGATCCACAAAGATGAACAAGGATCATTATTTTGCACTCTAACAACTGTGACACAGGACTGCTACAGCATCACAGTAGTTCATCAATTTCATTTCTACCCTTCGAGAACCATCCCAGCGTTGAACGCTCCTTTGCTGCAGGAAGCAAATCAACTGCCTCCTATCTAGTGTGCTGTTATGCTGACCAACCTGTCTAACTGTGAGAGGGGACCATACTACATATTAGACTCATTTTCAGTTCAATGTAATAACTTGGATTTTAGTATACCTTGGAGTATACCTGTACTACAAGCTTTACTGATAATCATGTGTACATAAAATGGCTTTTGAATGCTACACCTTCCTCTCTGTTACATATATATTCATAACAAATTTTATAAAAATCTTTTATTAGATTTTCAGAAATTCGACATAATGTAGAAAATCCTCTTAATTCCATATATAAGTGTTACAAGGTGGTTGGTCCAAAAAAAAACAAAAAAAAAAAAAAAATACGTCCCTGATATATAAACCACTATCTACTCAACCAGCCAAAATGAAATTTCAGACATTATTATTTGAAGGTATGTACTCAAGTTTGCGATGATTTAAGAGAATAGGGCTCTCAAAGCTATGATTGCAGTGAAAAAATTTTGAATTTTTTTATTTTTTTTAAAAGCAACACTCACTTTTTTCCCTCCACAAAATTATGAGTGCATTGGAAAATCGTAATGATAACAAGAGCTAGATAGGACAGAAAAATGCTGCCCCCCCCACAACCATTCAAGAACCAAAAATGAAAATGTGTTTTGTTAGTCGGCAGATATTTGAATCATAAATATTCAATATGATTTATTATTATCGCAGATGATGACGTTTTCGGGAGGATGGGACCTCAGCTAAACAGAACAAAAATTGATTTATGGCACACTTGCTTTTGCTTGAGTATTATTATCTCTGTGAGGAATAGGAAAAATTTTCAAACACAGGGAGTTAATTGGAGGTTCAGTTAATATATCATTCCAGTTATTAGATATCCAGGTGTTGCTTTGTACTGTATACACACATACACAGGGCAAAGTCTGAGATCCAGACTTTATATGGTGCCTTTTCTATAAAGCCCATCTGCTTTTTCTTGAATATTACATCATTACTGCAATTTGTAAGGGGAGAAGAATTCCTCAGGCTTAAAAAAATTGCATGCAATCCCAAAATCTGGATATTAGATCATTCTGGATTTCATATTTTGTACTGTAAATAACTTTACTATCGAAATCAAATGTTTAATCATGTCATCCTCACTTAACAAAATATTTGACTTTATCTTGAAGAAACATGAAGTAGTATATACCTTAAATATTGAACAAAAAGGCCCTTTTTACACAGAAATGATCTGAAAAGAAGAGAAATGTTAATAGGGGTGGGCAATTTTAGAATTAATTAATATTCCACTGCAAATGGGTTTATCAAAAAATATCAATAGAAATTCCTGTAATTAAGTTGCCTTCCATTTGTACCCCCTTTCCTTTCCAAACATGCCTTAAAATGTTATGAATGTAAGTAAGACAGCATTCACTTATTAACTACATTGATAACATACAAATTTTTCCCATTTGTTGAATTTCAAAGCTGAAAAATGTTAGTATATCACCATAAGAAGCTTTCCAAATTGCTATATATAAAAATATATGCCTACAGATTCAAGATGGTGTAAGCCTATGCTTCATTTCTACAAATTAGACAAAATGCTTTGTTGTGCTGCAGACCTTTTGGCTTTAATATCTCTGTAAAGAAGTTATACAGTACAAAGTCCGAGATCCGGACGTTCATTATCTGGAATGATCTAAAATTCGAACCTCAAAACCAGCAATGTTTTCTTTACGCATGCGCATTTAAATCCCCCTCCGCGCATAATAAAACATCTGGAGAGTCCCGATTCTTAATTTCACTTTGACACTAAATAAAATACCTTGTTATTGAAGAAACAATCATTTTAGCATAAATTTGTATGATCAGTAATTTGGCTCCATTGCTGCGTATCTGCTTTTGGCACACATCTCAAATTGAAACATTCCACATAGATACATTGTTGATCTGACGCCAACCTGGCGAATCATTATTTATTATACTTTCCTTTCATCACCGCATGTTTATCCAAACATGACAACTTGAGTAATGACTCATGTAGCGATGCCTAAACAATTTTCTTTATATTATTAATTGAATAATAAAGGAGTATGGTAACCTTTTATGTTGACATTACACTTGGCGATGATTACAGATTTAAGTTAAATGCGCGAAAAATATAGACGAGGAAAAATTTACCAAAAACTTCTTTCCATATGCTAAAAAATAGGTTTTGTTGATGATACTCATAGACCCAAGATTACATTTAGGGCTACTTGAATTAAGAATAACAGGTTTGTTACTCACATAAACCCAGCAGAACCAGCGCCAGGGCTCATATGGCCGCATCGAGTCGCAGAATTTAAGACCCACAGAGACTACATCAGGTGGTAAGATATCTAGCGCAGGCCCTCAATAAGGCTTAAGTATATGTGCGAATTTATTTATTCAGAACTCTGATAAGCCTTAAGCACGTGCAAGAAATAGGCATAAGTATAATAACTAATAAAATTTAGGCTTAATTGTTTCGGTGCGTGATAGAAGCAAGATAAAATTTAACGGAACAGCTTGTTGTTAAGTCGCCAAGCTCATGATGCATTTAAGACATAGGAAAGGGAGTCTGGTGTTGTTCCATCCTGCTGCAGGCACCAGCATACAAATTTAATGTGCACTGGTTAAATATCTGGTGAATGTGAGTAAATTTTATAAAATGAGTATGTATTTATTTATATAATATACAAATTCCTATTTTATGTTAAATAAAAGCCCAAATTATAAAATTATTATCATAGATATAAAGAATGAAATAAGCTTTTAACTTAAGCCAGAATTGACTTACAGTGAAGGTGCTAGAATGGTGCAAGTCAAGCACTACCTATACCACTTAAAATTGAGAATAATTTATTGGTCCATGGGTTGAATTAATATCATCCAGTTTTGGATGAATGAAGCTGTGTTACAAGAAAAACTGAAATTCTGAAAGATCATTACCTCAGTTTCTTCAGATCCATAACTTACAGATCAACTAAACATGAAGACCAATTTTACTGCTTTAACACTAATCTTCCTGATGTGTTGCAAATACCACTGCATGCTAACTGTATGGCTGATTTCCTCCTGTATCCACTGTTTCATCAGAATCTCTTGCCACAGTGCCATACCATAGCCCTAAGCTGTGCAATCAATACTGTCCATACCCGACTCCTCAGCTGCAGGTATAACAATGATTGACAGAATTCCATTTGGATGCAGTACGGTAAACCACTACATATAGCCATGAATTTGAAATAATTGCTTTAAGATATTATCTGCAATCACATTATCTGTTTCATGCTACTCTGCTAGTTAGCAGGATTAGTACTTTCCTAACACTAATGGATCTTGGACTGTATCTAAATTCTATGGTCTAGTGGAATAATCTTTGTACACTGATTAAAAGAAAGCATCATAAGCAAAGTGTGAGGTATCTTAGTTGATATGTGCCATGTTACTGAACATTTGCATAATGTGGACGACAACAATCTTATATCAAACAATTGTAACCCATTTGTAGTTAAACAGTTTTTCCTCAATTTTAATGTCCTTTTTAACTTTATGCATTTTTTTCTGTATTGCTCTCTCATTGTTTAAAAATCCTTATATTCACTAATTTTCATTTTCCCCACACTCCAATGCTTTATGCTGTTTTACTTCCTGCATGCTATTCTGAAATCCTCATGTTTGTAAGAAAATTTTCGGGATACAGATATATCATAAACCTTGATATAAGTCTGTCCCTATTTACAAATACCAATTTCACATATCACTTTACCTTATCTTACACAAAGCTGCAATTGATTCTTTGCTTTTCACACTTCCAATGTAACCATTAATAGGTCAAGTTATTTTATGACCACTCTGTATAAGTTGATCTCCTAACTCATTTTTATCAAAACACCTTGATTTACTTGTTTATACTCATAAAGAACTTATATGAAAATCAATCAATACCAGATGAAAAAATGCTTATATGATTCAATTAAAAGTAATTACAAACTTCCCAGAAATTACATCCATTTTTTAACCATGTTAAAAGAAGGATATTTTTCAGCACACAATACCTTTTTTTAACACTACATATTTAAAAAAAAAATAAACAATACTTAAACTGTACTACCTGATAGCAGAAGTAACTCTTGTGATACAGATTTCAATAACACTTTGGTTATTGTCATTTTGGGTAAAATCTGATGAACTTGCAATTTCTTGAATTCTAGCTAATACTTCAGATAAATCAGCTACAACACTGTTATCGTCGATTGAGAATAAATCACCAGCTCTTGAAAGATCACGGTTAGTCAAAACTTGTGCAAAAAGTTCATGCATATTGAAAAATTCACATCATTCAATATCTACAGAAAAAAAAGAAAAGCACTTTCACAAATAAAAACTACAATAATTTGCCAAATGTCACAAATGTTCACAACAAGCATATTACAAAACTAATAATAATTCCACACCATTAAAAAATATTTTAACTTAAATTTCATCCTATACAATATCCAACGTTTGTTTTTAAAGTTCATTAAATTCTTTACAAAATTCATACCATCTGATAAAACTGTTAACCTTTTTGCGACGGCGCACCTTTGTTTAAGACGCTCGTGCAGGACGGAAGGGAATCGAAGGCAGTCACTGTACAGGACGGAGGTTTTGCATCGCTAAGCCCAATTTTATTTAAAAAAAAAAAAATCAGAAAAAACAAGTTTCGCTTCTAGCATCGCAATTTTTGGTATCATTTTAGATTATTACTTGATCTCTTATATATGTTAAAATTAGCACTTAATAACATTTTTTTTCTTTATTTTACATGAAAATATACTTAAAAAATTGCTTATCCTGTAAAATAATTTTCGGAAGCACTATTCAAATTATTCCAAAGTTTAAATTGATAACATCCATCAATAAAGTTTAAAATTAATAAAACAACACAATAAAGACAATTTACAGTAAGATGTAACTAAATTTAAAATGAAGACTGAATGTGGTAAATTTCGAAGCACGGAGAAGTATCACTTTCGAACTCTCAGAAAAAGTATCACTTTCGAACTCTCAGAAAAAGTATCACTTTCGAACTCTTTAGAAAATGAATCATCACCCTCATCTGCGTTAATAAATGGTTCATTGACCATATGAGGGTATTCCTTCTCTGATAAATAGTCCCTTCCCACCATAATAGACTGGAGGTGAGGCTTTCCGAATTAAAAAGAAAAGAAACGGAAATATATCTGAATGCAATGCAAAACATAACAATACTCCACATACTAACCCTAAAAGACTGTACATAGTAAAGGAAAAAAAAGGGAATTGGATATAAATCAGACACATGAATGTTTTCATTAACACACAGCGGTTTAAAGAGCTCACCTCTGTTTATGCTTTTCCTCCCCCCCTCGCAAGAGCTGATGAGTAAAATACCAAAGTCGAGCAGAATATATCTAACTCAAGGTCAGGAACCGAAAACTGTGTTCATTTCAAAAGTAATGGATATAGGATGCCATCTAGTGGCCTTCAGAAAACCATTCCAGCTTAAAATGCATATACGCATCACCCGTCCTCTGAATGCAATCTCTAGCAATGCGTGGATGGGACGCCTGGCTGTAAGAGATGTTCTTAGGGAATGCGTATATTGGACGCCCGTCCTGAAAGGGTTAAATAAAGTATGTGTAACACCATAACATCCCAGCACAATTTAAGGGAATTGCAGTATTATAAACTTCATTAATTAATTGCTAGACTGAACAATGTAAATTATCTCAATATTCTAATTAATAAAAAGAAGACTAATTTTTCCAGATCAATACTACTTACATCCAAAATCTATTCAATACATTCTTAGGCAAAATCAGTCACGTCTGTATCAAGAAGTAAGTGTTTAATCACACTTTAAAACCGAAGCCCAAAACATGATTAGTAATATGAAAAAAATTATGATTACGAGAATGACTATTTTTCATTGCTGATATATTTCATCCATTGTATATAATGTTTAGTTCCAAAATTAATCGAAAGCTCCAAATTTACCAGAATATGAAGAATTTGTGCTTGGAGGAAGTGTGTTGATAAATTTACTCAGTGTTGTTAAACTCCCGCCAATCATGCTATTTATTTTGATAAATTTTTTACATCATTTCAGCTTCTCTGTCATCTAAAAAATAAAGGTTTCTAAGCTACAGGAACAATTCAGGAAAACCACATATAAATGTGCCCACTAGAAACTGTGAAATGTGTCCGTAAGAAAGATAGGCGTTATTATGATTTCGAATATGAAGAGAAAAACAAAATAATTTTTGCCCGATGGAAGGACAATTCAGTTATAGCTCTTGGTTCAACATTTGGAAACATTCAGCCCATAAAAAAATGTTTCCCGTTATTCAAAAACGTAAAGGAAAAAGGTTTTTATGATACTTACATATTATCGCAACCAGGTTGGCGCGATTTGTAAGTTTGAGTAAAAAAGTATGAATAGAAAGAAAATGTACATTTATTAATTAGAGATATTTTTAATACAGTTTTTTATATTATTTTGTTTTAAAATATCAAATAGCAATTAAACCCTTCCGGTTTCGAATTTGAATAAGTTGCAGAATTATTTTTTCGGTGGAAATCTTTTGGCTATTGCTTTTAGCACTGATTGAAAACCGTCTTCGCCATTAACAGCTTGAGCTTGGTGCCATATAAATTCAATAAGGTATGAGTCAAGATGATGACGGGCTGTTCCTCTCTGTTTTTTGTGTCGCCATTTGGCTGAGCTCCACATTCGCTCTAAATGTTGTGTGTGAAATTCGGCTACCTTCAAACCAATTTCCGGTTCTCACACCCAAATGTTGATTGCACTCTTCGACATTACATTTCTAGAAGATTTGCTTTCCAAAATACAGTTTCATTTTATGAGAATTTTGTTTATAATATAATAAGAGTTTGTGGCAAAAAATGGTGGTGGCCAATATTTACTAATTACATTGATGTCGCCTTGATAAATGCATGGAAAATATCATGTCTTTCTACTACTGGAAATAAAACGTCTCTTTCAGATACGAGATTGCTTTATTCCTTCTGCAAACTCCTATTGAGAGTGTAGATTTAGCCAGAAATAGATCAGCAACAGGAAGACCTAGTAAATTCAGCATTCAAAAATCATTGCATGGAGATGGTAGATTAAAGTAAAGTCTGATGATAACAAAAGACTTCGTTGTAAAGAGCGCCATAGCCAGACTGTTTTATAGATACAAAGTATGTAATGTAGCTTTACACCATGATTGTAGTGAAGCTTTTCATGCTTGAATCTTTCAATTGAAATAATCTGTATTTGTAAAAGAAATACAGTCAAAAGTCGTTAATCCGGACTCGTCGGGACTTCGGCGATTTCGGATTATCGATTTTTCCGGATTATAGATCATCAGTTTAAATCTGGTAAGATGGCATGCAGAAATTATAAAATTAAAAATATGAAACCATAATTTATGAAATAAAGAACAATTATGATCTAAAGGGTATCAAAATTTACAAAAAAAAAAACTTTAATATTTATTTGTTTACTTTATTAAACATTTCTTTCAATGTAAGTTGTTTAAGTTGCTTCGTTTTCTGTGATAATACTTTCTCTTTAATTCTATAAACAGACATAATTTCTTATTCAGTTACGAAGTTCCGCTGTTCAAGTCCTGTAATTGCTGTGCCAAGAATACCGACTTACTTGTCAATCGAAATGTTTTCGTTTTCAATAACCTCTGGGTCACTTTCTTCACTATCGGAAGCGAATTATAATGACGAGGAACTTGATTTAAATCATATCAAAGACGGAGTACATAGAGATGAAATATTACACTTAGTAAGGAATTATAAGCCAAATAAAATAAAAACATCTGCCCTGAAGATAAGGATAGTGCTGACAGATCAACTTCCAATCCGCGGCGTGAAATTGATAAACAGATTTCGGATTTCAAAACATACTTTCGCTTTGTAGATACAAATTACATATTAGTAAATATATATCAGAAATTCTATTTGACATAATCGAAAGTTCAAGCTTACTTTTATGAAATTGCTCTAACAGTCTGCAAAAAACAATAAGCCGGATCCAATTCGAAGATTAAGGAACAACGCAATCTGCAACATTAACTGAATTAGATAATTTTAGCTCAGCTTATACCTCCGTTACACATTAAACGCGCATGCGCACAAACATATTAGCAGCCGTAAAGGTTTTACGCGCTCTCGTAAATGCCTGTGCGCATGCGTGAACGCGACACATGCGCAGAAAGTTTGTAGCTTTGAGGTCCGAATTAACGATTTTTGACTGTATAATGTATATTTTAATATTAAATTAATTACAAGTAAAGTGATTTGTAGATTTATAAAACATTATGCAGCTAAAAAGTAATCCAGTGGTCCACTCAAAGGAAACATCGCACAAGTCAACCCTACTCAGTAAAAATCCGTAGTCTTATTCCACTGACGTTGTGCAAACGCAACACTTGCTTTTTCCACAGGTAAGAGTATTTTTTCTTATTTTCAATGTAAATTTATGTTATAAATTTTTAATTTAATATTTGTTATTATTTTCATGAGAAATGAATCATTACTTGTAGTTTTTGGCGGTTAATGGGTTAAAAAAAAAAATTACAATTCATCTGACCAGGCAACTTTTTTCACAGGTAAGAGTATTTTTTCTTATTTTCAATGTAAATTTATGTTATAAATTCTTAATTTAATATTTGTTATTATTTTCATGAGAAATGAATCATTACTTGTAGTTTTGGCGGTTAATGGGTTAAAAAAAATTACAATTCATCTGACCAGGCAACTCATTTCAATTGTTACTCATCCCGTCATGACATCCACAGTAGCTGTTGTAACTCATCAAGAGCAGTAACACGGAAGATTCTTACAGTTGAAACTAAATATTTTATTTTGCACTAGGACACTTCTACAAATTTAAGAATATTTAGACATTATCACAAGCTACTCACCACACATTTTCTCTACATTAAACATGTCTCGTTGTTATGGATACATACATACACAATAAAAAACCTAATTCTAAAACTGATAACAACTAATATCGATATGCAACATCCTCCCACTTTTTGTCTTGTACATTCAGATATTACAAGACAAAACTAATGTATTTCTTAAAAACTGTAAGCTAATGTAGGCATTTTACATCTAACATAGACAATGTTCATACATGTAGAATACTTACAAATTCAGTCTTTCAGGACCTGAAGTAATTCTATCTCTGTGTAATGTTGTCTGAAAGATGCAGTTTTGTATCATCATGACTGGGTAGTGAATCTCCTCCTTTCCTTTGAGGGCGTAATTTGGGCTCCGAGCTTCCAATTTTGTGCTGAAGGGTTAAATCTGACGATGCATTCTCTAAGAGGGTCAGATAATTTCAGGTGAGCCACTCGCTGCTTTTCATCTTGTTCTATAAATAGTTCCATCACTCTAGCTAAAGGGCAGTTAGTTCTTTTGGAGCTATCAGATTGCACCAACAAGCACATCTCCTACTTGAATATACCTCTTGCTTTATCAGTCCGATTCCTTACAAGTTCAGATCGATATTCTTTTTGGAATCTCTTTCAAAGATTATCTTGAACACTTTGCAAGGAACTTATTCTTTTCTTCAAATGATTTCTATCGACTGAGTCAAAATTAAGAGTATCACAATCAGTAGAGTTTGGAGTTTCACATAGGAAATGTGCCAAATGGTCATGGTTCCTCTGGATTCTCTGACAAATAAGTTAATGGTCTCTTATTGATTGTATTCTTGCAATCATATAAGTCTTCACATTTCCTCATAATCTAGACTATCACTGCCAAAAATTCTTTTCAGCAGGTTTTTCATACAGTGTATCATATGTGCGCATCATCTACTATACCATGGTTCACTTGGTGGATTAAAATTCTGTTTTATCTTCTTTTTGCACTCTCTTCTTGAATGACACTCCAATTTATCGTTTAGAGAGCATTTGATGTGCCACGATATTTGTTCCATTACCAGTGTAGATGACCGAAACTCTGCCTCTTCTAATCATGAATCTTCCTAAAGACAGAACAAAAGCTTCTGCAAGCAAGGCAGTTATTAACTCTAAATGTACTGCAGGATACACAGTGCAAATGAACAGGAGAATCGAGGCCTTCACATCTCCATGAAGGCAAAGAGGACTGGCTAGATTAGCACCAGCTGATTGAAAGGGACCAATCTGTGCAATCTTTCAGGTTAAAAGGAGCTGTTTGTATAAGTATAGCTTCAGACAAAAATCTCCTACATGGAACGCAATTAAATATAACCCCACAGATAATCCTCTACCTATGAGGTTTTGGAAACCTTTCTCTCAGCTCTGAAAAGATTGCTTGTACTCCAGCACCACTTAATGATCCGTACATATATTCAATTAAACGTTGAACAATTGGATGATCAGGCAGAACTATAGGACACTTAAAATCATCAGTGCTGTCTCCAAAGATGAGCCGAGTTTGCACACTAAACAGTCCTGCATCTTCATAGAACTTCAATGATTCTTAAGATTTCTTCTTGTTTACTACTAACCATTACCTCCGAGTCAACTTGATACGTAAAGTTTTGGTCCTTTTTATTTCATCACTGGTTATAGACAGAGAAACTTTCGGCTTCTCGCAAGGTGTCATAAAATCTAATTATCAAACAATAATGCATAACAGTTCAGAATATTTTGAGAAATACAACAATTGGTAACTAAATTTCTCAATTCCTTAATCACTTGAGGCACTCAATTATGTTTTCTTTCCCCCTCTTGTAAAGCTTCTTCTTCGTTACAGGCCCAGGTTTCCTTAACCATGAAGGACCATCCCACCATTTTGTTTTCAACAATTTGCATTAGGTACAAGATCAAGATGCTAAATCTGCTGGATTAAGTTCACTAGGTATATGTCTCCAGCAACTGAGATCAGTCAGTTCACAAATTTCTTTAACTCTGTTGTCAACAAAGTTATTCCAGGCCTCCCTCTTAGCTATCCACACCAGTACTACCATATAATCTGTCCACAAATATGTTTTTAAATGTAAATTTATATCTTGCAAGGTATACTTTGCTAATCGTGTTGCAATGGCAGCTCTGAAAAGTTCCATTTTAGGTATAGTAGGCCAGTTCATTGGGGCTACTCAGGCCTTTGTAGATACTTAAAATGTAGGATTACTGCAGCTTCCTTACAACATAACAAAGCACAACAAGCTTAAACGTTTGCAGATGTGTCAGAAAAGATATGAAATGTTGCAACTTCACTTCATCCTGGCAACACCTGTCAGAGAATAGAAATAAAGTTCAACAAGAGCAAGATGGTTTGACTATTTAGTATATTTCCTTAGATCTTCTGGGAGTGGTTCATTCCAAATAAGTTTCCTTTTCATATTTCTTGTACTTTGGCAACAGCATTGCTGGACATATAAAACTGATGGAATCATACCTGCTGATGATCACAGAAAATAAATTTGTTTTTGCAACTCCTGCTTGTAATGCTTGTCACAGACAAGTCTGTGTTTGATTCCTATCCTGAATTCCTGTGTGAAACAAGCAACATAAATTAAAACATCCCTCTTGCATTATATACATGGCCTGTTTTTGATGTAGACACAACTTCTCCTCATTATCTACACTTGTAAAAGCTTTCAACATAAAAGCTTGCTTTTAGCTTCTCTGTGGTAAATTTCAACTCTTCTGTTTGACATTTTTCTAAACTCAAATGATGCAAAATAGTCACATTTAGCAAGAAAGGGCTTGTTGCAACGCTGAACACTACACAATGTCCTTATTCTTTTCATCCTTTCCAGCATGCTACCTTTTACAGTTGGAATTTCAACCAAAAAAAAAAAAAAAAATGGTAGAGTCTAATACAGCCTACAGGAGTACATAGGGTTAAAATTTTGTAAAGCTAGCACTTATCGTTTTAATTGTGCGCGTGTGCCTGAAGCAGGCTCAGCGTTGAAACAAGCATTGCTGGGACAGCTGGGAAGTGCATAACAGAGTAGATTTTGGCTATGATTAAAAACTCTAGATTCTGATTATTGTAGCAGATTTAGCATTACCCAGAGTACTCTATACCCCCCCAAAAGCTCTTTCTGAATCTATGACTACAGGCATATAAATGAAAAAAAAAAAGTAACTTGGCTACATGATATTTACATTTCATATTTATACTTTTGTCTATTTTTTGTCATGGTGGTACTTTTCAAAGCAAGTGACGCCATCTTTGAAAAAGCACAATCCAACAGTGCATGTTTTGCACATGTATCAGGATCTGTATCGGAATCACTATTTGAGGGCAATTCGTTTAGCACTTTCAGTGGTTCAGAAATGGTCAGCCCTCTCTGATCCATTTGCAAAATACTTAAAAATTAGAAAAAAATAACATTACATCTACAATTAAGAAAATATAAACTATAAAATAAAATTAAACAAACATCTACAACTTAAAACTCAAAATGTAGAGCTAACAAAACTTCTTTCAACAACAGCAAAAAAAGAAAAGAGAACTGCTCTAGTGAAATATCAAAGAACTAACTGATAAAATTACACCTGACCTTCAGAGAAACACCCAAACAATTTCTTAGTTGATAATCAACCCCCCCCCCAAAAAAATGAAAGAAAGAAAAACAAGAAATGAAACACTGACGTACACTCACCTTTTTATTGGGAATGAGGTCACCAAAGAAAATATTGCAGTGAAATAAAGATACAGTTGTTGATCTAGTCTTGATGTTTCAGTGATCCCACTCTGAGCACACCAGATGTTCATCATTCAATTTTAGGCAAGATTTCCAGGTAAAAATTTAAAACTAATAAAGAATATAGAGATCAATATGCAGCTAAGAAAATAACACAGAAATTTCTTTTCAAGCAATTCCTTTCATATCCCTAAAAAAAAAAAAAAAAAAAAAAAAAATTGGAAGATTTCTTTGAAAAATGGGGGGCTTTAAACACTAAACATGGCTAAAATGTATGGACTGGTTTGTGTTGTGCTGCCATCTAGTATAAATGAAGGTTGAAAGTAACCTATAGTAGGCTATAAAGCCTTTTCTATTCAATTTTACTGCATGTACAGAAGGAAAATTTTGGGTGTGCCCAGACTGGGTTAATTTTCCAAAAGCCTTTCATTATAAAAACCAAATTACATCCTGATCTCCTGGTCATACACTAAGCTGCAGAAAAGCTTGTTTGATATTTGCTGTTAGTCCAACAGCATGTAATTGGAATATGTTATTTAGTGTAGGAACCAGCTGCGTAAGACTAGGTCATGCACTCAGACAATTATTTAAGTAAGCACAGCCAGCAAACAACCTTTACTGAGGCATTGAACACATGACGGATTAACAACTTAAATAATGAACAGTACTCTTGATAACAGATGGCTCTACTTCTATTATGCCTTCTTTCTTCTCCTCGAGCTCTACACCTTGCTAAAGGCCAAGGCTGCCTCTCCAAGTTTTCTCCTCTGACCCTATCAGGCGTCATAGCTTCCCACTGGTTTACCCCTATCAGTTTCAAATTCTTTTCCACACTATCCAGCCATCTAGTGGATGGTCTTCCTTTTCACTGCTTCCCTCTACTTTGAGAATTTTATCTTTTTAATAGGAAATGCACTACCATATCTATAAATATGGCTTAGCCATCTAATATGTGATGCCTTTACCATTTTGACAATATCATGTTCATTATATTTCCTACAAATTTCATGGTTATATACTCTCCACAGTTCATTTTGCCTCACCAGTCCAAAAATCTTATATTTTTTTTTTCCAAGTATAAGCAGCAGATCTTCCTGTCTAGCTAAGTGTACAGCATTCGCTTCCATACAGGGCCACATGTCTTATCAAAGTCTTATATAAAGTTATTTCGGTTTTTATGCTAATTAATTTGGTATTAAGTTGGTTTCCAAGTCCATAAAGTCATCTATTGGCCACAGATATCCTGTTTTTAATTCAACTTTAATGTCATCGCACCTTAAAATCATTGTACCCATACATTTAATTTTTTTAACAATCTCAAAAGTATAAATGTAGTTGTTTAAAGGGGGTAGGTCCATGATTTTATTTTTACCATCATAAATTTTGCCTTATCCTAATTGATGGTTAGACCCATCTTCCCTGATGCATAATCAAGTGAGACAAATGCCTCAACAACAGCCTGTTTAAATCATTCTATGATAGCAATGTCACTGGCAAAAGCTAGAAGTTGAATTACTCTTTGTAGAACAGTTCCACTTAAGTTTAATTGAGAGTCTTGCAGAGCCTTTTCCAGTGCCATCGCAGACCTTTCTGAGTATAAAAGGACTCTAAAGACAAAATTTTAATTCTACATTTCACACTCTTAAGTGTCATTCTCGTAAGGATGATCAGTTTTTTTGACATGTTGAATTCCAGCATAGCTTCAAATAATCTGTCTCCATTTAAACTGTCATATGCAGCTTTAAAATCAATAAACAAGTGATATGTGTCAATGTTACATTCATTTGTTCATTCAAAAATTTATGCCTTCTTTTACTTTCACCCATTGAAAAAAAAAAAAAAAAAAAGTTATTTGTCAAAGACATCTTATTACAACAGTTTTGTGACAGATTCCAACCTTATTTCAACTATGTCATACTTATCATAGAGAGGAAAATGACCGACTATTCAAGGTAAAGCCACCCCATGATTGTCACTGTCAACAGTTACTGTTTCCTTTAAATTGCATTAAAGTTTCATCTTCTAGCACCTTTTTGCTTTTCTGTTCAATTGGATCACTGAAGCCCTAAGTGATCCCTAAGAACGCCCACATCTCTTTCACTGGGATTCCCCCCCCCTTCCTGCAGAGTGTGGGCTGATAACTATTTCTCATTTCTTCCCAAAACCTAGAATGATTCAACCAAGCAAGGTCTCTACAGCTGAAACTCCCGATGATAATACCCAAATTCTGCTAGTTAAAATACACCCTAAAATATGCCAAGGCGAACTCATATTGGTGGTGCATTATTGACAATATCTGCGAGTGTTATTCCATGAGCTTTAAGTTCTAAGATTAGAAGATTGTCATGAATTTTAGATCCTGTAGTGCAAATTTTGGGCTGATCCCAAAAAGAAATTTTTGCAGAAAACCTTCCATCTAAACTTTTTTCTGTAACATCATACCTTCCATGTTTTAGAGCAGGAATAGTTCCACCATCAAATAATCCTTGTCATAACACATCTACACCCGTAGGAAAACGTTTTAGTTCCTTTATTATCCTTTTTGATGTATGATCACTGCAAGCCATCATCCAACAAAAAGCATACTGCAACTCAGCTTCCTTTATGGCAAACTTTAATTCAGACTGTCTTCTGACAGATTCCCCATAAAGAGGATTCTCCTGTAAACAACATAGTGCACTCACTTTCCGTAGAAATTGCTTGAAAAGTGGATTCATTCTTCCATTCTGTACAAAGCAGAGTGTTATGTCATTGTACATATACGCTACTCAACATAGAGAATGCAACACGAAGAAGGAGTGGCTCGAAAATTATGCAAATTTCAGGGTAGATGCGCATTACCGAGTTATGTGAATGATGTGAAATGCGCACGTCTCCAGTGCACGTTCAATAAGATACAAGGGAAGGAACTTGCAAAATATTCGATTTTTGTGACGTTATTTCTGCTAGGGAACACATTGTAGAAAATTTGTTCTTGCCTCAGAGCATTCATGTATTAGTAGAGAATGGCAGGCCAACATCAACCAAGGCAGTTCCAGCAGACAGACAACTTCACAAGGAGCATGGTGATCAGACTGAGAAGGGCAGGTTGGTTTATACGGCAAATCTCAGCTGACAAACACCTAGACACCTCCATGGTGCACCAGCTGTGGTGATGATGGTTGGAACAAGGAAATGTGGCAAGTACAAGGGGTGCCGGTGCAGCCATAGTAACTCATGTGTGGATCGCATCCACCGACAACTGGAGCAGCACCTACAACCCACTTCTACCTCCATTCTGCAGCATGCTCAAGACATCCTGGATGTTTCCATATCAACCAGAACCATTTGCTGTTGATTGGTGGTGAGTGGTCTGCACTCATGGCATCCATTAAGAAGACTGCCATTGACCCCACATCATAGACACCTATGTCTGCAATAGTGCCAGCTCGAGCGATGTGGACGACAGAATGGCACGGGGTCGTGTTCTTTGAGTCACATTTCTGTTTCTCCAATGACAGTCGCCGTGTACTAATAAGGAGACAGGTCCAATCAAGCAGCAATTGTGGAACACCCCACCGAACGGCATCATGGTTGGGGTGCAACTGTGTATGATTCCAGGTTATTTCTAGTTCGTATTCAGGGCACTATGATGGCCCAATGTTACGTGAATGATGTGCTGTGGGCGATAACACTCCCCTACCTTCAGGGAGTGCCCAATGCTCTTTATCAGCAGGATAACACCTGACCATACACTGCTTTCATCAGCCAACATGCTCTGCAAGATGTACAGATGCTTCCCTGGCCACCATTCTCTCCTGATCTCTCACCAATCGAACTCATTTGGGATGTGATTGGATGCCATTTGCAGACCCTGCCATTGCCACATTCAGAAAATACACTGTGGCAAATGGTTGACAGGGAATGAAGAGCCATTCCTCAAGACACTATCCGTAGTCTCATTGACTCTGTACCTAAAAGTGTTGCTTTGTGTATCACCGTCCAAGGTGGTCCTACAACCTACTGAGCCAATGCTTTTCACACTCTGTATTGTGCATATCATTACAAAATAAAGATAATTTATTGTTTGTTGCTGTCTCTCCCTGCTTACTGAGTTTCATCACTTTCTGGCCGTTCCTTGGTGTTGCATTTTCAATGTCAGGTAGTGTTTTATGCACCAAACAATACTTCTACATGTTTCTGCATGTGTCCTAGCTTAAAACAAACTAAATAACATTCTTTGCAATAACTTGAAATTTCCTCTCATCTAGTGTCATCATGGGAGCTTTCCTACAGACTTTACTAAAATGTGGATAACCACAAAAAATAGATTTAGACTTTTCATGCACAGACGAAATAAAGGATGAAGTAGAAGGGATATCATTTCTTGAAGTACCACTTTCGTTTTTAATTTTAACTCGAGTTCCAAACACTGATCGTGCAAACATGTCATTTCCTCACCATGAACTTCCTGCCTTAAAAATTTCACAAGCTTCTCAAGATATCCTTGACTGTTTTCAACAACATCGTTTCTACCATTAGGAAGGTTGGACCCTTGTTGGACTTTCCCAAGCTATAATTTTCAACTTTGCTGAAATCTTTAATGTACTACTTTCTTTGTTTTCATCACCCTTGCCTAGTAATAATTCAAAAATTGTATGTTAAGTACTTTCTAAGCCCTGGACTTTATGATACGATTATGAATTTGATTTGTGAACTCTGGAAACATTCACTTTCGTTTTCATAGTTTCTTCCACAATAGACTTTGTTGCATTCGTAAATGTTGTATGTGGTCTTACACTGTAACTCTTAACGCATCCATAATAAAATATCCAAGCTCATGAGAAACTAACAGCATAAATGGCTAGCCTATATTTGACAGTGCCCGCACTAAGTTGTTGTTTCATTTATGGGAATTTGAGTAAAGGGTGCCCGTTGGAATATCGCCAAGTTGTTGTTTCATTTATGGTAACCTGAGTAGTTGAATGTTATGAAAAGCCTGTTAAGACATAATTGGTTGCGTGAATTTGAGATGGGAAAATATTTGTAAGGGCATTTTTGTGTGTTGGATGTTGGTTAGGAAGTTGCTTATTTTGTGGTTTAAACTATAAAACGACTGAATGTGGTAAGATTAACTTGAAAATTTCTATAGGATTTGGAACAAGGGGGGAAGCATTAATTGACTGGTGTGTAAATGAAGGTTTACTTAGTACCAATTATAAGTGTCCTGTTTGTACAAAGGAAATGCATATGGTGGAACGTAAAGATAGTTCAGATGGTTTTGGATGGGTTTGTCGCAAGAAAGGTTCAAATGGTTACCATATAAAGTGTTCCGTTAGAAAGGGAACATGGTTTGAGGAAAGCTTTTGGATGCTGTTAAGAATTTTGTGTGCTACAGACTGAAGACAGAGAAATTTCTAAATAAGGTAGGTGGCTATTTCCTTTGTTTAGTGCGTAATGCTTTTTTATGTTATTTCATTGTTTGATTTAAAACGTAGTTTATTGAGATTATATATTTTTTGTGCGCAATGCCGAGTTTGTGCAATTCTGCGATGTTTTTTTAAGTGAAAAAATATACCATCAAATATAGTTTTACCGCATTAATATTTAGCGTTTAAATTCAAACTGTACCTTGCTTCTTTTGTAGATACTCCAATTCTATCTTGGACAGCAATTAATTTGTTGTAACTCTTCAAGAAAATTAATTAGCACAGAAGATTATTAAGTAGTCATAAATTAAATATTTTATTTCTTACTAAAACACTTTTAGCAACTTAAAAGGTTTAGACATTACAAGTTATTTACAAAACAGTTTCTGTTAAAAATATACTTCAGGGTACCCCTTAGCAAAAATTGGCAATTTTTTTTTTTTTTCCACCCTTCCCAGTAAAATGGCATCCAAAACATAATGCTATAAAATATAATTAAAACAAAAAATATATATTCTTAATAAACTGTATTTAAATCAAACAAGGAAATAACATAAGAATGGAAATACAAGTTACCTAATCTACGCAGTACAAAAAGGAAATATCAACTTACCTTATTTAAAAATTTCTGTTTCTTCGATATGTGTAACACACAGAATTCCATAACAGCATCCAAAAACTATTTAAAATTATCTAAACTAGAATCTGCATACTGCCGTCACCACATTAATTCACAAAAGTAAAAATGAAAAATATCCTCCGTACTGCCAGTAGCATTTCTTTCGAAAATCCCTTTTTATTACACCCCACGTACCTTCCATAGTGTTGATATAAGCTCCAGTTACAAAATCCTTAAATCTCACTGCGTAATTTACTGATAGGTGAACGAAGCCATTTAAAACTTCATTAACACAACAGTTAATTAATGTTTTCTTTCCCAATCATACACAAATTTACAGGTTTTTTACAACTTCAAGTTAATCGTACCACCAGCAGGCATGTTTTTACTCTGTAAAGCACAATATAAGCAACGTACTTCCTAACCAACATCCATACCTAAGTAAGCCCTTACAAATATTTTTCCATCAGTCAAAAATAACCACAATCACGCATTAATCACATCATAGCAGGGTGTCCATAACATTCAACTACTAAGGTTAATAAATGAAGTAACAACTTGGTGATACTCCAAGAGTTATCCTAAAATATTCACTAACCTATTTCATACTTGCCAACCTATGACACTAAAAAATCAGGAGATTTTTTTAAAGAATCAGGAGATTTTTCACAATGTTAAAAAGACTTTTTAAATGATAAAAATAAAGTTCTTAATCACGAATCAACTTTAAATAGTTACTAATTCGTAAATGCAAGCAACACAAAAATACCTTACACATAAAAAAAAACTCTTGCATCGTTTAAGAAACGTTAAGAAAACAAACAAAAAAAAAGACACTTTAATCAGTTTTTGTACAAATGTTATGAACAGTGGGAGATTTTGATTTCGTTAAGAAAGAAACTTCATAATTTTGTTCATAGCAATTGCCATGTAGCCCTGCTTTCGCTAATAAAAGTTTTTCTAATGTGTCATCACTAATATTAGATCTAAATTTAGTCTTCGTTTTCACAACAACACTGAAAATCCTCTCACACTCTGCATTACTATGGGGAACTGTCAAGATGGCCAACATAATTCTAGACAGTTCACTATATTTTAAAATTCCATCAGCACCTTTCAGTTTTCCAATTAAACTCCACTGGGTATCAATCCTAGCTGATCTTTATAACTTCATCCAAGTTTTCTAATTGTAAACTGCAATATTATCAAAGGCAACATCAATATCATCATCTTTCATGGCTAAATGAAGTAACACAGGAAATCTGTTCAAAAATTACCTTATATTAGAAAAAGATGTATTTGCTAGAGCAGAAACATCAGGAACTTTAGCATGCAAAATCACTTCATCGTTGACTGGAAATTTATGTAGTATGTAATCGCATACTCGACAGAAGTAACTTCTAACATGAAGATAAACTAATTTTTGTCTTCTGAAAGTTCTTCCACTACTTTTGTAGTTGCAGCTCCTAATACCAAATCTTCATCTTTCTTCTGATTATCTATATCATCATAAATCAAATCGTATATAGAATTACAAGACAAAACATAGACTGGATTTACAAACTTTGAAAAAATGTCTTTAAACAGATCATAAATCATTGATTTCAAAACATGAATTTATGGAATTCTGCTTTGTAGAACTGTGTTAAGAACATCGAATGATGGCAAAATGAATTATATATAAAAAAAAAAAAAAAAAGCAAAAAGCTTTGTTAAGATCCGAAGAAAAAAACATAAATATTCGTTCTTTACAAAAATATTCTTTGTTTTAGACATAATCTAGAGAAAATTCAATTGCTTTCAGACTTCCAAAATTACTAGTTGTTTTTGTTCATATAACGAAGTATTAAGCCAAGTTCCATAAAAATCGTGAAAAAATATAAGAATAAGAAAAAGTTGGGAGAAATATATTGTAAATCGGATTGGCGGGAGAGCGGTCAAAAACCGGAAGTCTCCCGCCTAAATCGGGAGAGTTGGCAACTCTGCTATTTTCTCTATATTAAAACATGTCTCATTATTATGGGTACTGTAATATCAGAACACCTGTGTTGGGTGCAAAGAAAGACAGGTTGTCTTTTAAAATATTTATTTTGAAAACTTATACGAAATTCTTGAATAAATATTAAAATAATTGAATCATTTTAACCATAATTCATACAAAGGCTGCTGACACGGCAATGACGCTAATATGCGTCTGCTTTCACTCATTTACAGCATCAAAAGCTTTTTACCCAAAGCTCTCTACTCGTTTTGTTAAAAACCATACTTCATATACAAACATAGACAGTATATTCCCACAAACATGGAAAAATCTCCACGAAATGTATTTTATTTTCTTGGAATCAGTCCCTCCCCTTTCTGGTGGTACTTGAAGGTAAGGGTTGCATTTTAAAATTAAGAGCATTTTAGAATTAAAGGGTTTGCAAGTGATTAAGGCTGCTTGGTATTCAACTTGGGTTCAAATCCAGGTGAACAGGCTGGCTGTGTGGTTGGTTTTGTGATGTTTAAGATGACATCGGCAAAAGTTTCCTGAAGTCCTTAATGAAGGCATCTCTTCCCTTAGGCAGATAGCCCTCGTGTGTTTTACCATACTCCAAAATGACCTAACCTAACCTTAGAATCGACAAAATACAACATAAAAATCTAGCACTAGACACAATGATAGAATATTAGTTAATTCTAATTTAATGTTTTTCAGAACTTCCTTTAAAATAATCCGGAGAAAAAAACAGTTCCTTAACATGCATAAAAATCTCAAAATATACAACAATCGCGTAACATACGACTGTTCTCCCTTTTTTACTACTATACATTTAGGTTTCATAAATTATGTTATAATCAATGTTATTCTAAAATACTTCTCTTTAAAATTTCAAGAAAAGAGTACACTTTAATAAGATTTATAAAAAATCTCTTTTAGTCATTCCCAAAACCTTACCTAGAACTGCATTTTCCTCTTTTTATGTTTCTAAAGAACATACGATATATAAAAAATTATGATAAAGCATTGTTCATTCAATATGGCCTAAAGCCATGATTTTATAATTTTACTATTTTTAAAAATATATATCGCCTACCAGTTGTAAATAAATTTTACAAAAATAAAATTACAGCAAAATAAATTCTAAAATTTTTTAAACCAAATTAAATATATATAATTTCTTTTCCTCCTTTACAAACAATGTTCATGGATAAATTTTCGTCCAATATAATATGACATTAAAGAACTACTAATAGCAATACGAAACTGTACTGTTCAAATATGCTGGATTTCAAATGCAAATTTCTTGCCTTGAAGTGTCATATATTGCCAACCAGGCTATAGAGGCTTATAACAAAAAGAAAACATGAAATATGAATAACTAGAAACATCACTCAGAACATCAGTCTTGATTTCTCACTTGTTTCCAACAAGTATATGCTAGGCATCTTACAATTTGTTCAATTTAAAGATATCTACAATTTTGCACATTTTGAGCAAAATCAGTAGACTCAGATTTCTGTACTTGTTTCATGATACACTCTTTAAAATCTCTGAAATACCAAGTGTGCGACATTGCAAGACCTTATTCAACAGAAAAGCTGAAAGAATATCTACTACAAAGCGATGATGTTCAATTAGTTTGTAAAAGTTTACACCAATCAAAGTCTGTTGGCTCACTTTGCTACTGGGCACCTATTATTTTAGACGATAAAAATTAAACAATTCTGGGGAAATACAGTAATGCATCTGCTGCACAAATGCAAGGCATTATTTTGGAAAGCAGATTTCAAAGTATTAAGCCATGATTTTTATACACTTATGTATAATGTTTTAGCCCTAATTTTGTGTTCCTTAAAATAATAAGAGGACAAATAATCAAAGAAGAGAGTTTTTTCTAATTTTCAAAAATGAGAGTCCAATTTTAATGTTGCTTCCGAAAGAAATTACTCACAAGTGAACATATATACGTTTTAATATCATTCAATTTATTGAAAGATCGTTATTCAATATGTAAATAAGTTTAGATTAGGATATATGAATATACCTCACCAAATGAAAAGAAATTTATTGTTCTAGCTTCTAGACTGTAATTAAGTTTTAATGAGAATCTATATAATTAAATTATAATATCACGATAAAACACACTTCATAACATTACTTACAGTCTTCCTCTTTAATACACGACTGATAACGAATCTAGTGCAATCCTTTAACAGCAGACACAGTTCAAAGATCATTAAAAAGTGTTTAATGTTGCTAACAGATCCATATGAAAAAAAAAAAAGGTCAATATTTTATACGCATGAGATGTGGTATAAACGAAAAGTTGCATTTAAACATTTTATGATTAGCCTACTAAATGTAACTTATTATGTAGCTAACATACGAAACCATAGAATATTCATAGAGAGCAGAAATAAATAACCGGTTCCCTACTTCAAAGGTTCAAAGCCCTCGAAAACAAGCGTGACAAACTCAGGCAATGTTGCCATATTCCTTAGTCGGAAATAAGTACAGATTTTCTTTCTTTAGCAATCTTGCTTTTAAGCAACAAGAAAGGAGATGAGGACTGTGGCGAACTCCGTTTCCTCCAGTCCGTGAGGCTCGGTAAGTTAGAAGAAGTTGATGAGTAAACGACTCAACTTCGGAATTCTTAGACTAGAACTGCTTACTAATTCTGCAGGAAGGAAATATTGAATGTCCTATTTATCGCAGAATTTGGCGATATAGTTCCTTAGATGATTGTAGTTTTGACACTCATTCAGTCTGTGCTCAAAATCATCTCGTACTTGGCAATTTCCGCATAAAGGAGTACTTGAAAGTTTTAACTTGAATTTAAGGTAGTTCGTGAGGATATTTCGAGTGAGGATTTTGTTAACTTTACATTCCCTTTTCCTTGAGCCGGGCCAATTGATATTAAGGTATTTGGTGTTTAAGACATTTTTAAAATGACAATGATGCTTGGTATTCTGCCAAATAGTTTCCAGTTCCCCGTCCTTGTCTTGATTAATTTCTTTTTTGACATCCTGCCATGTATAAATAGGAAGGATCGGAATATTGCGTGCATTAACCGCCTGTTTTGCCAAAAAATGTGCCCTTTCGTTGATCTCGATGCCTTTGTGACCGGCAGTGGCTAATCGCACCGACAGTTCCAAAAGCTAAGAGGCTATTCACAACACCGGCGGCAACCAGCGGCCGAGCGGTAAAGTCGCTGAACACTGGTAGTTCGGTCCGAGGTTCGAATCCCGCGAACGGGCTGGCTGCATGGGTGTTTTCGTGGTTTTCCCCATGTGTAACGTGTATACGAGCCAGTTTCCCTTAGAAAGTCCTCCACGAAAGGCATCCCTCCTCTTAGGCAGATAGCCCTAGTGTGCTTTGCCATAATTAAATACACACATACACACACACCACAACACCTACGTTCGCGCATGCGCACAATCAGCTCAGGTACCAGCATTTTGAAGAATAAAGAGGATAAGGTTCGGAGAACAGCCTTGGTTGCCCCAACTTGGCTCCTTAAAGGATATGGGTGACTCCCCGTTTTGGCGTTAAGGCTGTTCTCCGAACCTTATCCGAATAAACATAGCAAAATCAGCTTACCTTTTGTGCACTCAAGTAGCAGCAGTTGAGTCTCCGAAACTATTGATGATGATGATGATGAGGTATTTATCCATAAATAATACGATGCAGATTTAAACACTAATAACATATTTACTGAACTGCAACTAAAATAATATAAGCGGTAAATACATTAATGTTAACACAAGCACATACAGAAGCTAAAGCATAACTAAAGAACAAGAGGATCATGGGATAAATTAATATCACGTGATTAGCATAGTTGATGTGTTTGACGCCCGTGTGTCTTGACATATTTTAGGGTTGCCAAAAATGAGTTAGAAAACATTTTATTTATTTATTCTCAAATGCTTGATTAATTTACAACAATCCCCCCTTTAATCATGCATTTGGGAAATATTGGAAATCAGGGGCCCTAGTCTGGACACCGTCGAGATGGAAGAACGGGTCGTTTTTTGCGATCTACTCGACAGAGAGCGAGTCTGGTGTCATCGTCTTGATCATTACAGAGATCGACGCGTCGGAAATTTTTCCGTCAGCTGGATAGCTGCCGTTTAAGTTTCTGACTGTCGTTTTAGAGCTAAAGTGAGGACGGCGGATAGTTTCTGGAAGTGTACTTAATGGATATTTTAAATTCTTAAGATTTGTGAAAAACTCGAATATTTCGCTATAGAAATAACGCATTTGATGCTGACGATTCTAGATTATTTATGTATTCTACAATAGCAATTCCTTAATTAAATTTTAGTGAAAATAATATATTTGGTGTTTTCCTATTTCACATATAAAGAAGAGTGCATACTTTTAATTTAAAATTATAATTTTTCAACTAATGTATGTGTGTTATGTATCAACAATGTACTTAATTTCATGCTTAGATGAGTAATTTATAAATTTTGAAATTTTATGTTTTAAATTATAATGTATTTGCCCTCTAACTTTTATTTTAATTTGTAGTGTATAAAAATTGTAATACATTAACACGTGCATTAAAGAATATGCAGTATATAATTCAAATTATTAACATCCTAAATTCAATATTTGCATTAAATTGCTTTGGGTTAAAAAATCATTTAAGTAGTTTTAACTGTACCTGATATGAATGTCAGTTTCCAAAATCTCCTGTATTAAACAAGTTAAATTTCCTGTATAATTTTCGGATTAAATTCTTGTAAATATTATAATGCAAGATTTATAATTAGTTACCAAATTTTTTAATGTGGTCTGCTTTTAGATATTACATCAGTTTTGTATTTTTATTCAGATCTTAAAGTGCTTGGTTTTGGTTTTATGTAATTACGGCAAAGCCTCGGGCTATCTGCCTAAAGTGAGGGTTGCCTTCGTGGAGGGCTTTATAAGGAAAACTAGCTCGTATACACGTAACACATGGGGAAAACACCAAAAAGCCCATGCAGCCAGCCCGTTCGCGGGATTCCAACCTAGCACCGAACTTCCAATGTTCAGGGATTTTACCGCTCGGCCGCTTGTAGGATCGATTTAAAAAGAGTATAAATGAGAATATGTACTGCAATTTCGTTCACTGTATCTGATAATATATTTATCATACAGTTATATATATACATTTATTTATTTAAAACAGATTTTGCGTGCCTTAACCTTCAATACTTCTGGAAGTTACCAATGGTATGTTGGTAATGAGGCCTATGCAGCCAGTCCGTTCGCGGGATTCGGACCTCGGACCGCACTACCAGTGTTCAGAGATTTTACTGCTTGGCCACTAGTGGGATCGATTTAGAAAGAGCATAAATAGGAATGTGTATTGCAGTTTCCTTTCACTGCATATGTTAATATATTTATAATACATTTAGTTACTTATTTATTTAAAACAGGTTTTGTATGTCTTAAATTTTTATGCTTTTGGAATTTACGAGAAATATGTTGGTAATGAAGCCCATGCAGCAAGCCCGATCGCGGGATTCGAACGTCGGTCCGAACTATCAGTGTTCAGAGATTTTACCGCTCGGCCGCTAGTGGGATCAATTTTAAAAAGGTATAAATAGAAACATGTACTGCAATTTCTTTCACTGCATATGCTGATATATTTTAATACAGTTATATATGTATATAGTTATTTATTGAAAAAAGTTTTTGTACGCCTTAAATTTTTATGCTTTTTTGGAAGTTACCAGAAATATGTTGGTAATGAGAAATATATTAGTAATGACAGATATATTGATATATTGGTTATTAGAGATATGTTGGTAATGCAGCCAACCCGTTCGCGATATTCGGACCTCGGACGAACTACCAGTGTTCAGCGATTTTACCTCACGGTCGCTGGTGAGATCGATTTTAAAAAGGGTATAAATAGGAATATGTACTGCAATTTCCTTTCACTGCATATGTTTTTATATATTATAATACAGTTATATATATAGTTATTTATTTATTTAAAACAAGTTTTGTTTGCCTTAAATTGTTTTGCTTCTGGAAGTGACCAGAGATATATTGCTAGTGACAGATATATTGGGCTGAGAAATTAAATGTCAAGTTGGTGCACTTGATAGGTTACATATGCTATTTGTTCTGGTATTTTCACCAAATAGATAAATTTACATAGTTTTCAACAAAACCAAATCAAATTACGATTCAATCGAAAGTTTGGATTTTCTGGTGTCATCAGCGCTGTAGGATGGTACCCACGTATCTATAATTGCACCTACTGACACGGAAGAATGCCAGAGTTCATTTATATAAACAGAAAAATCTTTCAATTATCTTAATATGCAGCTGTTATGTAATTTTTCCTTCCATTTTATATAATATATATATATATATGTTTAAGTGTGTGTATTTATACGCAAGATGATATGTTTTCTGATTTAACCTATAGTTATTTAATTCTTTTTATTTTTATTTTCCTTCCCATTACTTTTGTTAAAAATTTCTTATATTTCTACTCACTAGGTAAATCGTCTTTTAATGCATCAATCCAAAGTTTTCGCTTATTGGTATTTTCGATACATGGTATATTTGTAGCTACGACGGATAAATATAATTCCTGAATAATAAAAATTATTGATATAATCATGGGCTGCTAAAAATTAAAAAAAATTTTTGATTCACATTCAATAGGAATATTAACACGCGTACGCGATGCTTAATTAATGATTTGATTTATGACACTGTTTACATAACCTTTTAAGACAAAAAATATTTTAACCATAAAACTGTTAAACAAATAGTTTACAAACATGTAACCTTTTAGAAAATTTCCATTTTGCAAAAGATCATACGTAAAATTATGCTTACGCTCTTCACATATCTGCAGTTTTGTGTAAAATATCCATTGACTCTTCCCATTTCTTTTTTCTGTGCTCTTTACTAAATATTTAGTTTATCACTTAACAGCTGCAAAGGGTTTCGAAAAATTTCACCATTTACTCCAACAGATTGGTAATTTTTTTATACCGCCATCCTCATTGAAAAGCACGTGCGAAGCAGCACATTTGACAACAAACAATCCTCCCTTTTCCTGAGCCTCGAGCAATGTAGAGGTGAGACAGACTGGTTGCTATGCAATAAACGTCACTTCCGCACGGAATCTCCACTTCATTTTCCGCCGACGGAATTTGAAGGGGTCAGACTTGCTCTCCCATTTGCTGTCGAGTGGAAAGAGAATCCCGACTGGTTTTCCGATATCGATCTCGACAGGTGTCCAGACTAGACCCCCAGATTTAGCTCACTTCTTAATTTCAGAAATTTTGGTTTGGGCAATGGCTTAGTAAAAATATCTGCAATCATAGAATTTGTATTGCAATAAGTTATCTCGATTATTTTATTTTCTTCTATTCCCCTTAACAATAAATATTTAACATTAAGATGCTTTA